AAATTAGATATTTTAATTGAGGTTTTCTTTTGTATAATTCTATTTAAGTTATTGTTTTAAAAAATAACCATTTATATTCACTAATTCCATTCTACCTATTTCTATTATCTACACGTATAGCCTGGTTTCTATTGGCCAGAATAATATAAAGACAATATTTTATATTAATATTATATTTAATAGTTTAATATAAAATTAATAATAATAATTAAATTTATATTACTACTAGCAGACCCTGTAAACGTTGTTTTGCCATATATATTTTTTTTGAGACACAGTCATTTTTATTCACGCGTTTAAAATTATTGAGTTACTAATATCGCTATTAAAAAAAAGGTTGATGGTAGAAGGGTGAAAATTTAGAGTTGTATGTATTTTTTAATGGCACATCAGAAAAAAATAAAAATAAAATGTTTTATTAAAAAAATTGGGGTGGACCACCCTTATCACTTAAGCGTATAAAAAATAGATAACCTATTGTCAGATCTAATGAATATACATAAAAAATTTCATCAAAATCGATAAAGCCGTTTCGAAGGAGTATGGTAAGTAAAACTGTGACACGAGAATTTTATATATTAGATTCACTAAACACTAATTTTAAAGAATAACAACCAATCTAAAGACGTTTATTATAACTCAGTAATTTTTTTCAAAAAAAGCGTATTATAGCTTATATCGCTGAAAAGCTTAAAACATGGCGCCTTTTATGAAGTCATGGCCAGCTATGATTTCCATTTAAAAAAACATATGTTCGTGTCATATGTCAAAAATGACAGGCTTTAGGAAAAAAACAGAGAACACAATATCATTAAGGATGTGATTATCTACAACTTTTATCTGAAAACTTTTTGTCTAAAATAGATTATAATGGAATTAGGGACAATTTTTAGAATAGCCGAAATTTGTTTTTTTCGAAATATCTAGTAAACCATAAACTTTTTCAAAATCTGAAAGGCGCATATTTATGACCCCACAAAACTGGCATTCCTTTCCCATTTAACCGACTCTCTAACGCCAGTAGTTTCCGAGATACCCATAGAGAACACCGTAGAAAACTCACCCTGTATATATAGTCTAAGTCTATATAGTCTATAGTATAGTCTAATATATATAATATAGTCTTTACACGGAACCCTCAATAGGCTAGTTCGACTCGCACTTGTCCGGATTTTTTGAATGTTAATTTAAAGAGTTTTACTTATATTTTTTATTGTTTTTAACTACTTTAGTCTGATAATAAAAACTAAGTTTATTGAAGGTCTGTTTTGATATGTTGCTATTTTCTATCCTCGTCGATCCTTAAAATCCTAATATATATTGATTTGTCATAATATTACAGTAATAGATTCGCATTTCTTTCATAAATTGTTATATTTATGTAATTAGATAATCTCACGATATTTTTTAATAGCTAAAATAGTATAAATTAAATTTATTACTCTTTTTTACTATTATTATTTATTTGGGCTTAAAAAATTGTGATAATTTGATTAAATGTAAGAATACTAAAATATAAATATATCTTATTAGAAAGATAAAATAAGGCTAAACTAAAAATGTTATGTTTGATATCATAATATAACAGGACACGATTCACCATTTCTTTACCACAAATTATTCAGTACCTAATCATAATAATTATTATAAATTTTACAGCATTTCTCTCTCTTTAATTGTAATAAAATAATATAAACATACTATAAAAAAATAATACAATATACAATACTAACAATACTAACCATACGATATATCATAAATGCATTTAGATTCAATGTTGTCATTAATTTTTTACCCAAGAATTTTTTCGTTATCTGGTAAAGATTCTCCGCTTTAAATTGATGAAATGTTCGAAAAAAATGGCGCCAAAGTCGGAATTACAATTGATGATAATTTTGGCGAGGTCACTTTCTAGATGTTATTTACTAAAAATTGACATAAAACTTGTCAAGAATTGACACCAATTATAGAAAGATTAAAAAGGATAGAACGATCCAAGATACACAAATGTATTTCCAAAATATTATTCTTCCCGAATTTTAAACTACACTATATAAAAATCATTTTTAATCAATATAAAAATAAAATGCAACCTTACGGGCAAAGTAAATAACATCTAGGGCTTGATATCGCCAAAATTATCATCGATTCTCATTCCCAGCCGTCATTGAGGCGTTTTTTCCATTTTTTCATAATAACAAATTTAATTTCAAATATTTGACCGATTCAAAATGTCAAAATGGATCAGTAGAGGGAATAGAATTAGAACGTATTTAATAAAAAATCAATGCATTTAATCGTTTACGATCTCTCTAAAAGAGTTAAAGGGCTTTTGTTTTAGCTTGATTGCCATATATTAAATACTTTTGTCTTTCTTTCTTTTTGACAACGCGCGACTCCAACTAAAAGAAGTGTTCTTAATTTAGTTGGATTTCGATATTTGAAATTAATTTCTATTTTTTGCTTTCGGCGCAGTGAAGCAAATTAGTATACGATGTTTTTCTGTTTCAGTAGTAATATAAAGAATTTTAAACAAAGCCTTTGTTGAAAATGCATCCGTCAAAAGTATATTCATTATTTAAGACTTGTGTTATTGTCGAACCGTATATAATTGAAATTTAAAATTCTGTCTCTGCCGCATTATTCTTTTGATGATTTCTAGATATTACTCAATAATGAATTTATTTCCTGATATATAA